ATTGTGGGGCTGGGGGTGCCGTGGGGCTAGAGATGGGGGCAGCATGGGGTTGGGGGCACTGAGAGGCTGGGGGCACCATGGATATGAGGGCACCATGGGGACAGGGCTGGGGGCACTATGGGACTGAAGGCACCGAGCGGCTGGGGGCACCACGGGGACAGGGACAAGGCTGGGGACACCACTGGGTTGGGAACAAGACAACTGAGGGGCTGGGGGCACCATGGGGCTGGAGATGGGGACACCATGGGGTTGGGGGCACTGCGGGGACAAGGACAGGTCTGGGGTCACCATGGCAATGGGGACAGAGGGGCTGGGAGCGCTGCGGGGCTGGGGGCACTGAGAGTCTGGGGGCACAATGTAGCTGGGAGCACCATGGGGATGGGGACAGGGACATCACAGGGCTGGAGATGGGGTCACCATGGAGTTGGGGGCACTTCAGGGACAGGGATGGGGGCACTGTGGGGATGGGGGCACCACAGGGATAGGGACATAACTGCAAGCATTGTGAGGACAGGGACATTGTGGGGCTGGGGGCGCCATGGGGCTGGAGATGGGGGCACTGAGGGGCTGGGAGCACCACGGAGACGAGGGCACCATGGGGACAGGGACAAGGCTGGGGGCACCACGGGAATGGGGACAGGGACATCGAGGCAGTGTGGGGCCGGAGATGGGGTCACTGTGGGGCTGGGACCATGGCAGGGATGGAGCTGGGGGCACCGCAGGGCTGGGGCCACCTCGTGTTGGGGACCACCGTGGGGTGCCAGTCCCCAGCTGAGAACACCAGGACGCTGGCGCCTCGGGGACCGGGTGCTTTATTGAGCGTCCCCTCCCCGGCAGCTCCCGGCCTCCACCGCGCGGCTCGGGCTGCAGCCACAGCCCTGGAGCCTGGCTCCGTGTCCTCGCCGCCGCGTGGCACCATCCCGCCGCCGCCGTCACCGGGCCCTGCCCTTGCCGCTGGGCAGCCGCAGGGCCACCACCTCCTCCAGCTCGCTCCCGCTGCTCTCAGCCTTCTCCTGGTAGCTGAAGTCCAGGCTTGGAGGGGGGGGGACACGACACACAACAGTGTTGGGGACCAGTACCCCCAGTGCCGGGGGGGTGCCGGGGACATCGCCAGCCCTCACCTGGAGAGTGAGCTGTCCTCGCTGTCCACCCCGCTGCTGGCCCCATCGCTCTCCCCGCTGGCCTCCTCCTTCAGCTGGGCACGCAGCCGGGCTGCCAACTCAGGGGGCAGCCGCCGGCCCCCCCCCCGGCCCATCGCCAGCTCCCGCCCTCGCTGCCACAACAGCCGCCCTCGCTCCTGGCCCCGCAGCGCCCGCACGGCACCAACCCACAGCCCCACCGTCTCCTCGTCGCTGGAGTCCCTGTGGGGAAAGGGCGGGAGGGTGGGTTCCATTCCTCCCCCCCCCTCAACCCACTGCAGCCCCCACTCAGAGTCCGGTGGGCTCCCTGTCACCCCCCTGCCCCACTGCCACCCCCTGGACTTGCTGCCCTCGCTCCTGGCCCCGCAACACCCACATGGCACCAACGCACAGCCCCACCACGTCTTCATCACTGGAGTCTCTGTGGGGACGGGGCAAGAGGGTGGGTTCTAGCCCCCCACCCCAGGGTCCGACGGGGTCTCCCCCTACCCCCCAACTCACATCTCCTCGTCCCCAGTGTCCCAGTAGCTCAGGGGACTCATGCAGATGGAGCAGACCTTGTTCAGGGTTTTGTAGCACTTGCTGCAATACAGCCCTGGGGGAAAAAAAATGGGGCCGTGAGCGGGGTTTGGAGATATTTTTTTCGGGGGGGCGAGTTGTGTTGGTTTTGGTTGTTTGGTTTGGTTTTGTGGTTGGTTTTTTTTTGGGGGGGGGGGGGGGGGGGGGGGGAGTAGAGTGTCCCCAGTCTAGGGTGTCCCCAGTCTAGGGAGGGTGTGGGGGGGGCTCCTACCTTTGCAGTTGGACGTTACACACTTGATAAAGTCCGGCTGCTGTGCCATCTTGCAAGCCAGGCAGCGTTTCTGCTGGATGCCCAGGAGCCGAGCCAGCTGGGCAAAGCCGGGCACCCTGTGGGCAAGTGGTCCATGGGGCAATGCCCAGTAAGGCATTTATGGGGGGGGGTCAGGATGTCTCCAGCCTCATGGATGCATCCTTCTTACCAGCTGCTGAGGTAGAGGAGCAGGTCACCTTGCCTGGCATCGGCCGCTTGTCGTTTGGTAGCCTGGTAGAGGGCACGTGCCAGGCCTGCCCGTCGTGCCAGGATGGTGCTGTGGAGGAAGGTCATGCGCTCCTGGAGTGGCAGGGGCAGGGGAGGGGGGGGTGAGGACAGGTGGCTGTCTGTCCCGGACAGACAGACCTGAGGGGGTGTGGGGAGGTGGTGGCGGTGGGGGGCTTCTACCTGCTCGCGGGACGGGTAGTAGGTGGCACACACCACCCGGCGCAGGCGAGCCACGTAGCTGCCGAAGATGGCAGTGAAGAGGCAGGCACCGTAAAGGAGTCCTGGTGGGAAGCGAACGAATCACACGGGGGTCATCCCTCCACCCCACTCCCGACCCCCCCCAGGTCACACACTGAGGGGGCAGCACCCCCCAGTCACCCATGTTGATGTAGGTGCCGTAGTCAGGCTCCACGGGGTGGACGAGGCAGCGGTCCGAGAGCACGGTGATGTTGCCCTGCTGCAGCACGTCGAAGGCAGACACCACGTCCTTGAAGATCTTGCTGGTGTAGCCTGACCCGTTGATGCTGATGCCCAACACCACTGGTGCTGCGGGGTGAGCAGGGCCTCAGACTTGGGGGATGAGGCACCCCCCGCCCCAAAACCCCCACCTCTGGCCAGCAGAGCACCCAAGGGTGCTGCTCCAGGGTGGTGGGTGCTGCTCCGGGGTGGTGGGCGCTGCTCACCCCTGGCGACGACCTCCCCCTGCATCAGGTGCCGGATCAGGTCAAGTAGCCAGAAGAGGCTGTAGTCGGCCAGGATGACGCTGACCCCCAGCAGCACGTGGCGCAGGACGGCCACCAGCTGCAGCCCGTACCGCTCCCACTCCTTCTGCGACAGCCAGATCCCGACTGGGGGGGCACGAGAGCACCATCAGGCCATGCCGTGCCAGGGCCCCGCCGTGGGGCTGGCCCTGGGGGGTGACCCCCAAGCGTGGGGCTGACCTGGGGAGATGTAGCGGCGGCACTCCCTCCTCGTCAGGGGCAGGACGGTGGCTCTGCCCTCCTGCGCACACCGCAGGTCCAGCTCCATGAAGCGCCGGGTGATGTACATGTTGTCGAAGGTGTCGTCCCGCAGGTACCGGTAACGGTACCGCATCGCCCTGGGGACACAGCGGGGATGCTGGAGACACCGGTGCGCTGCGTCACTGTCCCCATGGGGGGGCCGAGCGGGACCCCAGCCCACTCACTGGAGGTAGAGGTAGAGGATGGCGCAGAAGGAGAAGTGAAGGAAGAGCCCCAGGAGGCGGCGGGTGGGCTCCAGGCGCAGGCGCACGCCCTGCATGATGTCCGAGGCCACCTGCCCCAGGCTCTTGCTGGCGCTGAGGCTGACGTTGAAGTGGTGCACGGCCGAGATGTTGAACTCAAACTCCCGGCGGATGCGGTCCAGAGTGTTCTTGATGGCTGTAGGGGTGACAAGGGGCCGCACGGTGCTGGGGGTCAGGGCAAGAGCTGGGAGGGGGGCAGAGAGGGACCCCCAACACACACCCCCTGCAGCACCGAGACACCCACGTTCTGAAACTTTCCTCTTCAGGAAGGACTGGATGTAGCCAGGGATGACGCAGAATAAGAGGATAACTGTGGAGAGAGGGAATCTCTGGCAGGGTGGGCACCCACTGGTGGGCAGGGGTCCACCCTGCCACCCCCCTACCCCGCCGCAGAGGGGCAGGGACACACACGCACTCCTGGCCAAATTGCAGAGGGGCCTGAAGGCAACGATGACGTAGCAGAGGAAGGAGAGGAAGGGGATGGTGCGATCGCACTTGTCCTTGGCCTCATCGAAGAGGCGGATGCAGTTGTTGTACGGCGAGCCCAGCTCCTTGTTGCAGACCTTGCTCATGCTCGCCAGCCACCGCCAGACGTTGCGCAGGGTTCGGGCTGCGGGCAGGGAGTGGGCGTCAGGGACCGGCAGCGGCAGTGGGGACAGGGACGGAGCCACAGCAGGAGAGGGGGGTGCTGGAGGCAGGGAGACCCCCAGGGGTGCCAGCTCACCGACGTAGCTGACACAGTCTATGAGGGAACGGTAGACCCTGCGGGCATGGTCACCCACCACCTTGGCTTTTTGGGAGATGTCCTTGATTTTGGCCAGCATTTCTGTGGAGAAGGGGCAGTGCTGACCATACCCCGAGGGGCAAGGGCAGCCTGGGGCCGGGCCAGCGCTGCTGAGGGTCCCCTGGGAAGGGATGCCCCCCCACCACCGCGTCCCCCTGGTCCCCAGTCTCACTCAGCAGTGGTTCCTGGGCGCGCTGCAGCCGCTCAACTGTCTGGTTGAGGGTGAGCTCGGCCCCACACGACAGCGATTCGGCAGCACGGGAGAAGTTCTGCACGATGTTGGAGCAGGGCCCCTGCACAGCCATGCCCAGCGCCAGCAGCAACATCAGCATCTTCCCCTCCCCTGCGGGGACAAGGGGGTCCTGGGGCTCAGCTGCAACCCAGCACCCCCCCCCGGCTCCTGGTGCTGGGACCGATGGCTACTTACTGGTGAAGATGTGGGGCAGCGAGAGCAGCACGGTGACCCGCAGCTTGGTGGAGAAGGCCATGCCCAGCCCCAGTGCAGTGCCCAGGCTGCTGGTGGTGAGCAGGCAGTACCAGACATTGTGGCCCTGGGCCAGCAGAACCACAACCCCGTACAGGCTGGCCAGCACCAAACCCAGCACGAAGCCACCGGCGCTGCGGGCCAGTTCCCGCGCCTCACTCGCCTCCCCTGGCTGCTGCTTTTCCTGGGGCTGCTTGCCCCCAGACAGCGGAGCCGGGCTCTTCCCCCAGCCCCTCAGGGCTCTGCCCAGCATCGTGCTGGTCTCTCCGGATGCAGGAATATGACGCTGGTTTCTCTGGGTGCAGGAATACGGCAGAGGGAAGGGGCACCTCGTGGTGTCCTAGTTCCAGAGCAACATTCCACCGTTGCCGGTTCCCCCGGGAGCATCCCGTGGTCACCACGGGGAGGCACAGAGCCACGGAGCCGATGGCAGCCCCTGGGCGAGCGCACTCGGCTGGGACGGAGGCGCACAGGAGGCAGAAACCACCCAACACAAGTGAGATCCCTTCCCAGCCCGCTGCCAGCCGGGGCTGCCTGTGGGCAGAGGGAGCGGGCAGGGCTGACACCCCCCTCCCCACCCAGCCCTGAAGCTGCTGGTGGTCTCGCTGCTGCCCGCCCCGTGCAGCCGGTTCCTCTGGAGCCGGCCGGACCAGTACCGCGGCAGCAAGTTCTTCCTGGGAGCCGGCCTAGGGACCCTCTTTGCCCTCGGTGAGTGTGCCCTGGTGCCAGGCAGGGCAGGGGCCGGTGGCAGCGGGGGCTTAGGTCACATTCCCCTGTCGTTTCAGGGCTCTGCCACCTCCTTATCGTACCCATGAACTTCACGGAGATGCGCAAAATGCAGCTCTGCTACGGGCTGACAGGTAAGGATGGGGCTGGGAGGGGACTGGGGTGATGGGGGCCATCGGGAGCCCTGGGGGGTTCTCTGCGGGACTGTGGGGACACCTCTCCACTCCCCACAGGGGTGACTGCCTTGGGCTGGGCCACGTCCCCCCACTTTCGCTGCGCCACCCTGCTCGTGGGCCCCAAATTCCTGGGAAAGGAGGGGCGGGTCTATGTCCTCTCCTTCGTCCTCACCGCCATCTACAATGGTAGGGTCCCCCCCCATCCCTCTTCCCCGCCCCCAGCGGGGTCCTGGGGGCTGGCACGGTCTGAGCCACCCTTGCTGGTGGCAGGGCCGGTGGCCAACATCTGGCACAACCTGAAGGAGGTGACGCGCTCGCTGGGCTGCGTGGCCGAGCTGCAGATCAACCACAGCCGCCAGCTGTGGCAGTTGTCCGTGGCCCCCCTGCAGAGCCTGATGGATGACATGGCGGTGAGTTGGGGGGCCGGGGCGGGGGGGCGGCAGGGGGCCAGGCAGAGCAGGGCCGAGTCTGTGTGTGTTTGTGTGTGTGTGTGTGTCCCGGCAGGACAGCGGAGGGACGCTGAATGAGGAGATGCAGAACTTGTCGCACGCCTTCGTGAAGCTCAACGAGGAGGTGGCCAGTGAGGAGGGCTACGACCTGCGGCAGCGCCGGCACCCGGGCCCCCAGCCCGGCCAAAGCACCCAGGAGCTCTTCGAGAAGAAGACCAAACTGCGCTGTGCCCGTGAGTGGGGCGGGCAGGAGGCCGGCAGCACGTGGGGCAGGCAGCTGCCAGTTAGGGGAGGGGGGCTGACACAGCCCCCCATGATGCAGGGCACCCCAGATGTTTCCTGGGGGCTGAGCGTTCCTGCCCCCCCCCAGATGTGATCGATCAGGGCATGCAGAGGTGCCGGGACTGGTTTGACTCCATGTACAACAAGTGCATGGAGAAAGTGTATGTGCCCATCATCAGCCACCTCGTCTGCCTGCCCATGAAGCTCAAGATCATCTGCAAGATTGTCAAGGGTGGGTGATGTGTGGGACCCCCTCCCTGCCCTCCCTCGGTGGAGCAGCTCTAGCTCTGCCCCCCTGCAGCCCCTGGGATGGCAGCCATGGCCAGTGCCGAGGCAATACCTGGGAGTCCTGGCTCTGCCAGCACCATCCCCACTCCACCACTGCTCCACCCCAACTCCATCCCCACTCCACCACTGATCCATCCCCACTCCATTCCCGCTCCATCCCCTCTCCATCCCTGTTCCACTCCTGCTCGATCCCCACTCCATCCCTGCTCCATCCACGCTCCATCCACCCTCTACACCTGCAGTCGTGGACAAATGGTGCCAGAACAGGATCCCCGTGGATGGCAACTTTGGGCAGATGTACGACCAGGTGAACAACTCCGTTGGCAACTTCAGCCAGGAATTCACGGCCAGTGTCGTCTACCAGGTGGGGGCCTCTCCCCTCTGCCCAGAGCCAGGGTGGGGGCCAGATCCTGCCCGGCCCCACGACCCCTCTGCCACAGGAGTACCATCAGGAGATGCTGACGAAGGCCAACATGTCAGCGAAGCAGCTGATGGAGGACGTGAACTCACACCTGCAGGAGCACAGCACCCGCCTGGGCTGGGCTGTTTCCTTCTTCCGCCTGGTGCTCTCCTTCACCTTCATCCTCGTCTTCATCTCGTGAGCCCCAGGACAGGGGGGTGGGGGGAGAAAGCAGCTGCAGGGCAAGGAGAGGTAGAGCCCTCCTTTGGCACCAGGTGGGGGGGACAGCTGGGACCTGCAGGTGCGAAGGAGCTACCCTTCGGCCCCCTCGCACCCCCTCTGGACCCCCTCCCTTTTACCAGGGCTTTCTCCTACACCAAGAAGTACTGCCAGGACATCTCCTTCGACAACCTCTACATCACCACCTACTTCCGCCAAATCGATGCCCGACGCAGAAAGCAGGTGAGAGGGGGAGAAGGGGTGGTGAGGGCCCCACCATCCTCAGCGGGGGGTCCCAGGGGGGTTGTGCTGAGCCACCCCATTCCCCCTTCCCCAGCACAAGCGGACGCTGCTGCCCCTGCGCCAGGCAGAGGTCTCAACCGTCATCTTCCCGTGCCGCGTGGCCGTGCAGCCATCTGAGATGAAGAACATGGTGAGGGGGCTGGAG